GGGGCCTTGTTTTGAGACCAATGGGTATTAGGAGCCTGAGAGGCCGGACAAGTCCAGTAGGTTTAATAATGAGTGTCACCGTAGCAAAGAGAATCAGACGGAGGCTAGTAAGTTGCGCTGACGTTAGAGGTACCTATACCGCCACTGAACCGATGCGATATGGACCAAAAGAGAGGCCAAACAAGAGAGGGGACGATACTTATGAGCTAAGAATGATAGTGGAGCCGAGAGGCAAGATTAATCTAGGACATGATCTTTCGATTTAGGTAGAGGGATCAAGCGTACAGATAATGAATCGGACGGAGACGAAAATCATGAGACCGTTACTTTTACCGTTAACAAACTTAATCGATGGCAGCCGATCCTCAGAGGAAAAGAGGCTTGGGCTTGAGACCTATAGGCATTTGGAGCCTGAGAGGCCGGAGTAGTCCACTGGGTTTAACGATGAGTGCCATAGTTGCAAAAAGAATCACACGGGAGCTAGTAAGTTGCTTTGAAGTTAGAGGCACCTATGCCACCATTGAACCGATGCGATTTGGACCAAAAGATAGGACAAACAAGAGAGGGGACGATGCTTGTGAGCTGAGAAGAATGATAGTGGAGCCGAGGGTCAAAATTAATCAAGGACCGGAATTTTCGTTTTCGTAGGGGTCCAAGCTTACAAGTAATGAATCGGACAGAGACGAGAATCATGGGGCCGTCACTTATACCATTGAGAACCTTAATCGATGGCAGCCGATCCTCAGGGGGATAGGGGCCATAGATTTCGACTATGGGCGTTGGGAGCCTGAGAGGCCGGAGTAGTCCAATAGGTTTAACGATGAGTGCCACAGTAGCAAAGAGAATCGAACCTTTGCTAGTAAGATGCGCCGACGTTAGAGACTCCTGTACCGCCATCGAGCAGTTGCGATATGGACCAAATAGAGGCCAAACAAGGGAGGGGAACGTAATTGTGAGCGGAGATGCATGATAGTCGAAGAGTTTTAAGAATGAGTACCGCAATAGCAAAGGGAATCAAAGGAGGCCTACGATGTTGCGCTGACGCTAGTGATACCTATACCGCCATCAAGCCGATGCAATATGGACCAAAAGAGAGGCCAAACAAGATAGGGGAACGTAATTGTGAGCTGAGATTCATGATGGTGGAGCCGAGGGGCAAAAGTCAATCAGAGACCTGGAATTGCATTTTGCTAATGAGAACTGTAATCGATGCTCAAGGGAAGAGAGGCTTTTGTTTGAGACCTATAGGCATTCGGAGCCGAAGGCCGGTGCGGTCCAGGAGGTTTAAGAGTGCGTGGCGCAGTAGGAAAGTGGATCAAATGTGGCCTAGTATGTTGTGCTGACGCTATGGGAACCTAATCCACCATTGAACTGTTGCGGTACGGACCAAAGGAGAGGCCAAACAAGAGAGGGGGACGTAATTGTGATCTGAGAAGCATGAGAGTGGAGCCGAGAGGCAAACTAATCAAGGACCGGAACTTTCGTTTTCGGTAGGGGGACGAAGCATGCAGATAATGTATCAGACGGAGACGAGTATCATGAGGTAGTTACATTTAAAAATGAAAACCTTCGTTAATGGCAGCCGATGTTCAAATGAATAGAGGCCTTGGTTTGAGGCCTATGGGCATTTGGGGCCTGAGTGGCCGGATTAGTCGAAAGTTTTAAGAATGTGTGCCACAGTAGCAAAGAGAAACAGAGGAGGCCTAGGATTTTGCGCTGACGCTAGTGGTGTCTTTGCCACCATTGAACAGTTGCGATATGGACCAAAAGAGAGGCCAAGCAAGAGATGGAGGCGTTGAAGTGAGCTGAGAGGCATGATATTAGGAACGAGAATCTAGCGAGGCCTAGGATTGGTCACAGGCGTTATGCGTTCTTAGGCCACTATTGAAGAGTTGCGATAAGGACCAGAAGAGGTGCCGAATACAATATACAGAGTCGGGTTAAGCATAAGGGAGGAGTAGAGTAAGCAAAGATGCGGCTAAGGATGTAAATCTCAACGTTCTAGAAGGAACAGTAAATGAAATATTTGGATCAAAGAGATGGAAGTCTTGATGCAGTTTCGTCTAGGTAGGGATAGGAAGGACAAAAGCGAGCAGACGTGCGAATAAGGTATCGGAAACAGTCGTGATGCGAGGTTAAAATGAAGTAGGAAACTGTTGGTAATAAAGCATTAAAAAGGGGATGTAGGCTAGTTCGCTAGAGGTTGTTTGGTCCTGTCTCCCATAGCTCGTCTTCCGTCACTTTGAGGCTTAGTAGTTCGGAGACTGTGTTTACGTCGAGGAATCTCTGTATGGCATTGCTGAAGTGTGTACTGGTCATAGATGATCGGATTTGCAGGGGTAAT